TGAAGTGGAGGTCGAGTTAGAGTTTCGAGTTGGAGTTTTTTGCGCCGACAACTCAATGATGAAGGATGGGGTGAGGGTGATGAGTTCTTTGTTCCGTGGGGAAAACTTTCAGTCTATCCATGAACTGTCAAGGCAGTACAACGAACATCAGAAGTCAAAAATTACATCTAAGTCTATAGACCACCTAGCAGCGACTACAAGAAGTAGAAAGAGCCAAAGGTGTGTCGTCCTCAGCGCCCCTTCCCCACTAGAGCCAAACAGACATTGTTGTAGTAGACAACTAGGAGGTCATCATGCTAAGGCCTCATAATACCAGCGCACTAGAACAAAAACCAATGCCAATGAAGAGAAGCATAGACCGGAAGGATCCAACCTATAGACACATGAATGCAGACTGGATCCAAGTGGATCCACCAAAGACAAACGCCGACCGAATCCTGCGAGATCCGTGGGAGACACACCTCCACATGTTCTCCTAAGATGCTAGAAGAACCAACTAGATAGGGGCTAGGCAAGAAGAACCTTATTCCATCTTCAGGGAAATGCAGCCGCCTCACCTTCCCCAGCAGGACGCAAACCCTAACAAAACAAAAAACACCTAAAAATAGAGCCCTCCCATCGGCAAAAGGGTCGAGATCCATCGTGCTTCCATGGTCCTAGTACCACATGAGATAAGGTAGACCGACGTCGACGCCAGCAAGAGGCAGGAGAAAACCTATCATGAATGCCCTTGGTCGCACTAGTGAAGGGGTACGATTGATTTTTTTACGAGGGTGATGAGTCCAGACTCACAATATATGAAAACAATGGTACTTCGACTAGTCAAATTATTGTCGACGAGTCTTAAATGGCGAAGAGCAACACCTCAAATATTTGGTAGCAAATTTAGTGATTTCTATGTGTCGAATACATTCGTTCAACATATCTTTAGCTTGTTTTTGGTTTGCTGCAAACACAATGTACGCATGCTGCAATGACTTCGAGTGTATGTTGCATATATTGCATTCATGTTGTAAGTTGTTTTTGCGCTACAAGCGTTGACTTCTATGTTAAATATTCGTGATGACTTTTCTTGCATTCATGATCAACATAGAAAGTCAACGCTTGTCAATTTTGCTAGATCAACATAGAAGTCAACGACGCTTGCCAATTTTGCCTCGTCTCCTATGGTCCTTGGACCATGTAGGCGTGATGGACCCAACCCTTGTCGGCGGGAGGGCTCCGTTTTTAGATGTTTTCTAACTTTTGTTAGGGTTTGTGCCATGCTTAGGAAGATGGGGCGGCGATGACTTCTTGAAGATGGAATAAGGTTCTTCCCGCCTAGCCCCCGTTCAGGTGATGCTTCAAGCATCGCTTGAGGGCGTGTGGAGGCGTGTCTTCGGCGAATCTTGTGTGATTCGGTCGGCGTTTGTCCTCTTTGGATCCGCCTGAATCCGGTCTTCATTCGCTTACGTCTGTGTGTCTGGAGGCTGGATTCTTCCGATCTATACTTCTCTTCATCGACGACGGTTGTTCTAGTGCACTGGTCCTATGGGACCTTATTACGACAACTTCCTGACCGTCTACTACAACAACATTTGCCCGACTCTGACGAGAGAGGGGCGATGACGGCGCGCGCATTCGGCTTCCTCTAGTGCTTGTAGCTGCCGCTAGATGGCCTACGAACCTGCATATAAATTTTACTTCTAGTGTTCTTTATACTACCTTCACAATTGATGAATAGATTGAAAGTTACTCGAAAAAAAGAGGGACGTGTCATGGTACACACATAAATTGACATGCTCTAGTTTTTTTTCGCCATTTGTATGTAATTTTGAGGACGGGGGTGGCGGGGGTGGTGGGGTGGAGGAGAGTAAAAGGATAAGACGCGGCCTGTGTTGTTTCCTCACATTGCCATGAAGAACGAACGTTCGTGTTGTTCACTCAAAGGGTTGCATTGGAGCGAACGCCAAACGGCAACCCCATGACCATTGTCATGTGTCATTCACGGTCAAACACATCACAGATCATTCGTTCAGAAAATCATTCCCAACAACGATCGCTCTATGATAATTGGCAAAACTAAAAGTTGCGAAATGTCGACGACTCTGCATGAGATTTGTGAAAAAATTTTGATAACCAACCAGGCACTAGCAAACATTTGACATTTGTCAAATATTGGTGGTATGGCAACTTGTGCCGCTATTCCATGACAGAAAACAACTGCGGGAGAGTAGCCAGGAAACTCTGTTTCGCGTAAGTAGCTGTCGGCTGAATCATCCCACACAGAACAGAACAGTAGCGCTCACAGCCACAGGGGGAAAATAAAACCCTATCAGCCGCTGCGTCCTCCCATGGCGGCGCCGCCGGGGATCCTCGAGGTGCGATGCGCGGGGTGCGGCGAGACCCTGGAGGTGGAGCATGGCCTCATGGAGTTCGCCTGCCCCGACTGCGGCATGGCCCAGTCGCTCCCGCCGGAGCTCATGCCGCCACGCCCTCGCCGCGCGCTCCCGCTCCCCGGACGAGGCGCCGCCCCCTACGCCGCGCCCACCCCGCCGGCCGCGACCGCTCGAGTCACGTGCGGCGGATGCGGATCCGTGCTCAGCGTGCCGCACGGCCCCGGGCGATTCGCCTGCCCGCTCTGTGGCGTCGAGCTCGCGTCCTTCCCCCTCGCCGCAGTTCCGGTCGTGGTGTCGCCCACAGCCGTCCCAATCTCCTCCCCCCGGCCAATGAATGCCGCAGAGGTACTGCTCGCAGTCGTTCGCTCCAAGGGATTCCATTGTCATGCATTGTTGCTTAGCTTGGTGCCGGTGGTTGTTGCTACGATGCTAACATTTCTGGCTATATGAGCTTGAATAGGCTACTAGAAGCATTGCTAAGTAAAGAATGTGTAATGCTTGTGTCGTCGCTATTTAGTTATTGAACATTTCTGACTAGTAGTCTAATAATTCTAGTCAGTGAGGTTCAATCAGGCCAGGAATTTAGGGCTGGGATGTTTTACTTTACTTTTGAATAGCTTGGTTCAGTAAGCTGTGGCCAATGTAGGCTCCCCGTCTCCACGATTTTGTTGTAGGAGTCTGCATTTTTCTCTTGTTCGGCTAGAAACAGACAAGGTTAAGGACTACCTGCAGAGTTGAGGATTGCCGGTCCTTTTTAGAATAATAAGCAAGTTCGGTGAAAATTAATCAAAGAAAAAGCTAAAGAAAGGGATACAAGTGCAGGAAGTGCTTCGGATAGCTCAAGATTTGTGCTAATTGATAAGTTAGTCACAAACAACTTTATTTACTGAAACCAGTGTGGCTATGGAATGTGGGTTTTAGATGCTTTGAAAATTTTAGACAACCTCATTGGATGTGATATTTGTTGTTGCGCTCTTCATTCCAAAAAACAATATTTAGGAGCCGGATGGTCTCGTCGATCTCTGACTGGCTGTGGAACTAACTCACCAACTATACAAATGCCACGCTATTATAATAAAAGATATGAAGGCAGGGAGGGGAGACGAACCTGAAGTCAGAAGCATCTCCCATGTTGTACACAACTACCCAAATCAGAGCATGATCTGTGTTGCAGAGAAGCTACTACTGTGGTGGCACAACAACTTGTACTGCTATTGGACCCAAAAAACAGAGGGAGAAATGCTAAGCAAAGGAGCCAGCAAATCAGACTTAGTTCAGAGGACCAACAACCATGCACCTTTGTGACATGGGTGGCTGATGAGGACCAGGTCAAGGAGAAGAGTTGTCTTGGTCGGTGTCCAGCGGCAGCATGTTGGTAGGGCCCCTATTCCAGTGCCAAGTATCAACTTGTAGACTCGTCAGAGTGAATCGTAATGTTACTTCTACTGACCATGGAAAAGGTGTTCTTTTTACCCATTTAAATTAAATTTATTTGTTTGTGCAAATTGAACCATTAGTTTTATTACCTTAATAGCAAAAGCTACAAAATATCAAGATTAGGAACAGAAAATTGTTTATCAGCTCCATGGAGCCATAGCTCCACTCGCTATTGTCGTTGGAGGCTTCACTGGAATTTGTGCCCATTATGAATATGTATTCATGATAAACTTATACAGTTATCATGTGATCAATCCAATTTTTGTTAACATGTTGGTCAAAGTTGACAAAGAATTGTCCGCATTTACCAATGTGATATTTTTTTAGTAGAGGGAGTATATCATGCACTGTATCTATTGTTCAATTTTCTTCTCTTTGTTGACCCATATTGTGCAGCAGGTGCAGCAGCCTTCGAGTCAATCAGCTCGTGCAGGAATGGTTCAAAAGCCCATTCATTCAGAGCCGACACATGGACAACAATACAAGCATTTTTCTGGAGAGGAGACCTTCAACTCATTTCGAGCTGAACCAAGAACACAGATTGATGCAGCAAGGACGCTACTAATTGAGCCTCCTAATCCTTCAGTCCGTAGGGATGAGTCACATACTGAACCTGTCCAAGGAACTCTTGCCAGGCCTGGCAAGAGGACACAAATTGATGCAGCAAGGACACTACAAAATGAGCTTCCTAATGCTTCAATCCACAGGGAGGAGTCACATACTGAACCTGTCCAAGGAAATATTGCCAGGTCTGGCAAGAGGACATATAGATTTGTATTTGGTCCAAAATCGTGGCAAGAAGGAAATGTCCAGAAAGAGCAGCCTAACCAGGTTGTCCATGCATCACATGCTCAAGTTATGCCCACAGAGTCTTCAGTTCATACAAACCAGGCAGTAGGAAGGTTTCCTGATGACCCAATTCCGATTCACAGCAAGCAGATAACTGAACATGTGGATGTCCCTAGTGCTACCGAGCATGGGCAGATTCGTTCTCAGCATCAAGTTGTCCATGAACAGCAGGCAGGTGAAAATCCTATTGACACAGTCCACATGGAGCAGGAAAAGGTGGACTCTGCTTGCAAGCCATCAAGCGAAAATAGGAAGAGCGCCGAAAATACTAAAGGAAATCATAAGAGGAAAAACAGTAATTTGATAAATGTCCACGCATCACAGGCACAAGTAATGCCCACTGAGTCTTTGGTTCATATAAATCAGGCAGACGGAGGGTTTCCTGATGACACAATTCCAAAGCACGGCAAGCAGAGAACTGAACATGTGGCTGTCCCTAGTGCTATCGAGCATGAGCAGGTACGTTCTCGGCATCAAGTTGACCATGAGCAGCAGGAAGGTGAAAATCCTAGTGACGGAGTCCACATGGAGCAGGAAAAGGTGGACTCTGTCTGCAAGCCATCAAACAAAAATATAAAGAGCACCGAAAATACTAAAGGAAATCGTAAGAGGAAAAACAAGAATTTGATGAATTCTTCTAATGAGCGGCCTCAGCTTAGGCGCAGTAAACGCCTGTCAAAGGGATCATCACCAGACCTTATTGATGTTGAGCCTATCCAGAAGTTAGATGCTTCCCCCCATCAAAATCATTCAGAAGCTCCACAGATTGAGAGTAGCATAGCTGATCAAACACTCTCTCCAGAGACTGGGTGGGCACTTCCTAATCCTGGTTCTAGTTCATCTCATGAGCATGAGATTCCCCAAAAAAGCTTTAATGGGATTGACCAGCTTGATGGAAGTGATGAGGAAGTACATTCAAGTCCATCAGATGGTCAAAATCAGTATATGGATGGACAAGTGGCAGAAGCAGCTTGCAGTGGCAAGAACCACTCGGAGCAGGTTCGACTCAAGCCTCACAGCAAGAATTTTGCAGAGCATGGCAGGCCGATAAACTTGGCTGCTTCATGCAGCCGCCTTGCTGCCTTGTTGCCTGTTCCAGCTTCCGCTACTTTGCCCACTATTTCCTCGCTTTCTTCACCTGAAAGTATGTCCCTCTCTGCAACGTATTTGGTAATCTCTATTGAGAGCTTTGTATCACTAACATGCGCCTCCCATTCTTGCAGAGCTACCACCTCAGTGCAGCAGTCCAATAACACCGCATAACCAACCACGAGCAGTTATATATTCCCAGGTCCCTCTCCTCACCCCTTCTTTACTGAACTTTGTTTTCAATGCATGGTCAGAAGTGTTATGTGTGATGTGCAGTGTTCGTCTGACAGCAATGCATAGTGTCACTTGTAACTGTTGTGCCGCCACTCAAATGTGTTCTTGCCAATGGCTTGGTGAGATGGGTTTTGATTATTACCATTTGAAATTGATACTTCCGATGCAGGTTTGCGAACTTGTGATGTTAGCTTGAAAACTTTTTTTTTAGAACGTTAGCTTGAAAACTTTTTTGTCAGTTAAAAGGTGTTGGCATGAGTTTCATCTGTAGTAGCTTTCCTTTGGTTTAGTGTTAATATTTCATGCTAGATTAATTGTATTACAAATGGAAAGCCCTGTATTGTCAATGGGATCTCCTCCAAGCTGTAAGGCTACCCGAAATGGCGCCCTGCATGTCCTTCTGGGACTGGCTGTTGTTGTTAAAGGACTGTTAGGTGTCCATTATAAGGCGTGTTTTCAGTTTACCCTCCATTTCCGTGGTTTGTAGTGACAGGCACTGTTTGGCATCCGCCTTATGTGTCGCCTGCCGCAGGACTCATTATCGGCCGTTGTCTTTCCTCGTGGTTTCTGTGTTGGACTGTATGTGATTTTGGTGTATAGGGAATTAGGGATTGAAGTTGTCCAAAGAGTATATTTCTTTCCTCAAAGGTCTGTTGGTCATGGGTATGGATGTTTTACTTGTGGATGCATCGTGTCGTCTTCTTTCTTGTGGTATGTCTTAATCCTTGCGTATCTTCTTAAGCGGCACGGCAAGGCACACCAAAGGTTCTAGTTATGATAGAAAGACCCAAGGATGTAACTTTTGCAAGAGGTGTTCTTTTTTTCCGAGAAACTAAGAATTTCACCTTTTCATGGAAATCTTCGTGATTGTCTGATACCGAGCAATTTCAGGATGCACAGTGTGATGATATGCTATCAGGATCTCTTAGCAAGTCATCGAAAAAGCGCAAGGGGCGTGGCCCTTCATTGCTAGTGGAACCACGCGAAGAAGCTGATAGGCCTGTGTTGACGCCCAGTGGTACAGAGTAAGTATCCCCCCTGCCTTTATGTTTGTCGATGGTTGGAGAACTGATGCATTCTGATCTTCATGTGTCAATTTAATTTGTAACCAGCAACTGGAGTGTCCACCCGCCGTTTCCTAAGAAGGTAGCAACTACCATCTCCCTTCTTATCAAGCAGAACTATCCTGGGACCTGTATTTCAGTGGATGACGAGGGAAGATCCTGTGAGGTTGTGGTTCACTATTGGCACCAATGCCCTCCAGATGTAAGGGCTACCGTGTTGGATGAATTCCTTGTGAGTAACTAATCAGGACGTCTCAAACTATGTTTTGCTCACTGTAAGATTTGCGAGTGATGATTTCCTGTCATTTGAATACTGCAGAAACGCTACAAGTGGGCCCCTGGCCACGAAGAGGAGTGCCAGAAGATCTTTGAGCGCAAAGCAGTTAGACAGTTAGTTAACCTCTTTTGCTATGAGAAGCAAAGGGTTAGAGAGGAGTTGGCAGCAAAGAAGTTCAAAGGATCTACGGTGGTTGGTAGGGCCAATGGAGAATTAGAAAAGGGAGACGATAGAGAAGATTCAGAGGAACGACAGGGAGATGGGTCCGTTGTGTCGATTGACCATGATGATCCACTGAATTGGAAACCGTTTGTCCCTGATTGGATGCAACCATCATGGTGGGAAATGTTGTGTGACCATTGGGCCCAAGACGAATTTATGAAGGTTTCTTACCAAAAGAGAAAGAATCGGAATGCAGGAGGCCACCCCTCTGCTGCTGCAGGCTCACAAATCATAGCAATGCACCAGCACCCTAAGGTAATAAGTTAATAACTAAGAATGCAATTTCTGGGTGCTATGATTTTCAGAATGTATTGATGATTCTGTTTTGTTCTACTTTTCAGGATACCACATCCTGGCATGCTGAGGAGGCCAGAGATCCTCTGCTAGGCCCCCATCCTGTGCAAGAGCAGGTGGGTAGCTCGAAGCGTGGGAGGTACCAAGGTACTCCTGTTGCCAGCAAGAAGGCCCAGACTGATTCATCGTCAAAATCCTCCCCAGATTTCTTGAGCAGACAGGGACAAGAGCCAAGATTCACACAGGAGCAGGTGCAGCTGATGATTAACCAAGCTCTACAAGGACTGAATGAAACTTGGGAGAAGAAGTTTCTGTCCTTGGAGCAAAACATGCGCAGCGTGCCCTCGGCACGTGCTGTTCCTGTCGTAAGAAAAAATAGCTGACTTTTTAACTCATTTAACAGGGGTTTGATATCTATCTTATCATTTCTGATACATCCTTTTGCAGGGTGCTAAGACTAGGTCAGCTGTGGCTGTTGCAAGGGACAAGCGATGCCAGATTTCACGGCAGGTAATGATAAAATCTACCTATGTCTGTACATACATCTATAGATAATGGCTGGAGGGAGAAGAGGCCCCTCGGTATATTCAAGGGAAGAAATTAGCTTCTGATGGGTGGGGTCTGTGGGGATAAAATCCGGGTTTTCTCGCATGTATTGGGCAGCAGTAATATGTTTTGGTTTATATATGTAGAAGAAACTGAGGTGCTCAATCTAATGCTACCGTGGTCTTTTTAGGTTGATTGGTGGCTGGTGATCTGTAATAATTATTAAGCAAACCACAGAAAATGAAACAGAAACCATGAACCACGGTGGGCAACCTTTTAGACCATGTGAATTCATATATTGAAACTGTCCAAAGTCCAAAATCACCACTGAACTATTCACCAGATGCATGCAGCATACTTTCAGTCCTTGGCAGCATGCAGCTTGTGAAACTCTGGTTGCCAAATTCTTCCGCTGGGTTTCGCACTTGCAGAAGATTTCACATCCATTGGTCATATCTATCCAGTGCACTACATGCATTGTCTCTGAATTTGCCCATGCCACTGGCACTCTCCAGCCCAGACTGGCCGGAGAGAGAGAGCAAACTGACACGGTTTCCCTTCCGATGCTTTGCAGGACACATTTGATTCGGCGGAGGGAGAGGAAGATCCAGACGACGGCGAGGAGCAGGATGATGTGCGTTGGAGTTAGACCCAACGCGCCAACGCGGGCCTCCTGTTGTGGCTCAGATTTTGTCTATCGGAGGACGGTGCGTCTGCACGGGAGCAATCAATCAGCCCCGCGTGCGTGCAGCTCAGGGTGTAAATCATGTGCGAATCCCTTTGACCCAGTTAGATCATGTGCATATGTTTTCAAAGTCGTCGCTCTGAACTCGCTTCTCCGACGCGGCTTGCGGTGGCCGTGTTGGTTTGTTTGGCGCGGAGGCGTCTGGCGTCGTGACCTTCGCTTTACCGCCGGCCATCACGCGGTGCGGCACGCCACCTGCGCGTGGCCACGCGCTGGCGGCCCCGTCCGTCGTGGGCAACGTGACGCCTGTCTGCCTGACCCGGTTTCCCTGCATCCTCCTGCTCGCTCGTGTCGCCGGTCTTTGGACATAAAATAATCCGGCGCTGTAGTTCGTCAGCCGCGTTTCAATAAGATAGATCAGAATGATTAGTTCCTAGGTTTGGCGTTGGATCGTCTCATCATCCAATCCAGTAGCTCTTGGCGTCAAATCACCGGCAGCGAGACGGAGAAGTCCATCCACCCATATTCAAAATCTTGAACTTCCGCCCTCCGTTCCCAAGCCCTGGCATCTCGCACCTCCCAACTCTCGATACTACGAGACCAACCAGAATTCGAGCGCTAGCTTTGTAGCTTTACGACGATGTGGAGCGGCAGCCCGAGCCAATCAGCCGATTCGGTCGGCCACGGCCAAGGGAGGCCGCCCAACCACCCGTCGTCGGTCGGTTGCGGTCGCAGCCTTGCAGGTGTAAAAGAGACCTGTCGGCGTGGTCAGACAAAAAGCGAATCGGGTCCGCGAGCGACCGCACAGCGCGCCGGGGCGGAAAGCCACGGCGAACGGGGAGACGGCGACGTCACGGCGGGCCCCGCGCGGCGCCGGCCGCCGATCCACGCCCCACTATATTAAATTTCATAAACAAGTGCGGATATCCCATCCAATCCACTGGCCGAGCGGCGGCCGGGCGCACACGCGTGTGGAACGGGGAACCCCGGGGCCCCCCACCGCCACACGGCTCCCCACCTCGTCCGCCCGCCGCCGCCCCCGCAGTCGTGTCCGTGCCCACCCGTTTGGCCGCCTGCGTGCGGTGCTCGACCGCGTTGACATGTGGACGCCGCAACGGTGGACGCGCGCGCGCGATCCGGGAGGCGCGGGGAGCGCGACACGGACACGGACGGTGTGGAAACTTGGTTGCGGTGGGCGACGCGGGCGGTGGGACTTCTGGGATCTGCGTGCGGTGTGCGCTGTGCGGGGTGCGGGGACGTGACGCAACCCGGCACCCACCACCCACCGCGGCGAGCGGCGAGCGGCGTGGGCTGCCTCGGCCCCGAAAGCAGGCGGCTGGAGCGATTCGTGATCCGCTGCGGTGGACGACGTGCGCGCTCCAGGGGCGCTGGAGTGAGCGCACCGAATGTGAGTGCCATATGACGCCGAGCGAGCTGCGTCCTAGAGCAAAACCAATTTCGTTGCATGTTCTTTTTTTAAAAAAAAATATCGTTGCATGGTTTGGTAGGTACGTACACGCAAACCATTTTGGCTGGGTTTTTTTTTTGGACGAAAAACCATTTTGGCTGTTCACAGAGCATCTTCAGTAGATGCAAGAAACAGCCGTCGGTCCCAAGAAATTGTCATTTGAAACAGCCGTCGGTCCCAAAAAAACACCTACCATGCTCTGTCTCTATGAAGTGATGTTTTCTTACATCGGCCCTAAATTTTTGGGACAAATGTTGCATTTTTTGCATGGGCTGCCTGAAAACAAATCGACGTGGCGGGAACCCAACCGTCACGATGAAACATCCCCTCCATCAATTGTCCCCACCCATGCCAATTTCGACCAGTTCTTGCCGCTGCCGTGACTCCATCGGCCGCTCTCAACTGTGACGCCGACGCCTGACTCCGGATGTTCCCTATCCAGCCACCACACATATACGTCGGTTAGGGGCCACCGCGACCCCCATGTGCCCGCCGGCGAGCCGCTAGTCCTTGTCGAGCTCTCGACGTTTGGTCATCGCGCCACCGCTAGATTTGGCCGCATCTCACGACTCCCCTTCGGCCCATGCCCCGTCCGCGCCGCCTTTCCTCGGCATTGGGCAACCTTCGCCGGCCAAAATCAGGCTCGACACCTAGCAGCCGTGAAATCTGCCTCCCAACCTTCCGATCTCATGTTTTAATTACTTCCTAAATTTTAGGGACTAGTTATAGCAAGAAAAAATACGGATGGAGAAAAAAGGAATCACTTGGAGATGAAGATGGACAACGTCCAAGCATGAACTCCAAGACGGAGCCTTCAAGAAAGGCACGGCACAGAGTATTGCCACAGCCTGATCCGAGGGATCAAGTGTTCACACATAGCAGCACAAATGAAAGGGAACAACCATGATGAAGCCTTCGGGAAGGGAACGTGGCCTACAAATGCCGCTCCCGTCGTCCTGGAGAATCCATGCAAGCAGGGGCGGATCCAGACTTAAAATTACCCGGTGTCCATATAGAAGAACACATGCCTACATATCAAACAATTGAATGGCCTACACACTAAGCTAATAAGTGCGTGCAAATTGCACCCGGTGCCAGTGACACCGGGTAGCTATACGTAGCTTCGCCCCTGCATGCAAGATAGTCACCCTGACGTTTACACACCTCTGCTGAACCGGAGTGCCATCAGACATAGGAACACCTGCAGCACCACTGTTACACTACGCCGCACACCAACAGCCATGCCACCCACGCGGCCATAGTAGCTAGTCCACATCCGACCCGTGCGTTCCTCCTGGAGCACTATGTCTCCCACTGCCAGGATTGACACCCTACAACCTGACACCGCACTCCCCCGAGACCCACCAAAGATATGTGCTTTGCCCCGATCAGCACCCCTACGACTGGTGGAGCCGCCAGCAAATGCCCTGCTTCAAACATCGTAATATCATAGACCAAGCAACACTAGGGCGGCGAAAAGGGAAGGAGGAGCGGATCGTAACAAGGAGGGAACCCGGGATCGATGCCCCGCGCCACCCACCGTCGTCCAGGTGTTGCATCCGAGAAGGCGCGATCAGACACAGGGGCACACACCTTCATATCTACTCCCTCCGTTCCTAAATACTTGTCTTTCTAGGCATTTCAACAAGTGACTACATACGGAGCAAAATGAATGAATCTACACTTTAAAATATGTCTACATACATCCGTATGTAGTAGTCATTTGAAATGTCTAGAAAGACAAATATTTAGGAACGGATGAAGTAGATACTATGCCGCTTTCGCACAGCCAACGGACACCCAGGCCATCGAAGCGAGACGCAGGCGCCGTCACGCCCCCGCCCTCACGCTGAGCACGGCGCCTCCGCTCAGTCCTGTTGTCCCACAGCAGCTGGCGAAGAATGAGTGTAATGGAGGAGGGTGTCGCCGCCTCCAAAGCCAGTTGGGATTCACCCGATGATGCCTGCCGACGGTGGAGGTGGAGGAGGGCAGGGATGGACGGGGAGTTGGTCGGTGGTTAGCGTTCCCCTAGTCACTTGCGAGAGCGACGCTGGGGGAAGGGAGTGTAACCCGTGTATTTTAGATACACATCGTCTTAATGGAGCGTAACTTTATTAAAATTATGAGTCTAGTTATAAGACATCCTAAGCTTTTGTACTCCCTCCATATAAAAATGTAAGATGTTTTTAGGCTAGTTTAGCTTAAAAAACGTCTTATATTTTGATATCGAGGTACTCCCTCCGTTTTATTATATAGAAGCGTTTTTTACACTAATACACTCTTATATTAGTGTAGAAAAAGATTTTTATTATAGGACGGAGAGAGTAGTATGTACTGTGATGGAGGGATAATACACACGAGCTCTTGGGTTAATAATAAAAAATACCAAAAAATATATAAAAAATCTGAAATTTAGGGATACCAAACATGGGTTCTTAATCTACTTCCATGTGAAATTTCATGGAAAAACACGAAGGAACGTATCCGCGGCGAAGGAAATATTGTCCGAACAAAAATCCATTCAAACAGTTTTTTTGATACTACGCAGGATTTTTTTTGTCTTTTTTGCAACGGATACGTTTCCTAGTATTTTTCACGAAATTTCACACAAGAGTAGATCGGAAACCCGGGTTTTATATCACAAAATCTCAGATTTTTTTCTTCAAATTTCTCGCTATTTTTTAAAACTTAATGCTCGTATAGAGGTGTGGAGCACCCGGGTGCTATAAAATCCGCTTCCGTGGTGGAGATGCTATTCATCTGTGACATGATACGATTTTATGCACGTAAATTTCGCACCAGGCAGACAAAATCTAGTCTATCCAGTATACTCATCGAAACAGTCAGTACAAGTGCGGCCGTATACACCTTAAACACTGCTAAACGACCCCAAGGAAGCTTCGAGGCGACGCAACCAACAACTTCCCCCTTCGGCCGCCGGCAGCGGGCAGCGAACAGCGAGACAAATCAACCCACCGCTGGCTTTCGTATTCACCGTCCGAACAGGAACGGCGGCGACCGGCCGGTACTACCTCCGTCCCGATCCAGACACACGTAGCATAGCACGTCGGCCAATAATACAATACTCCGCCCCCACGCAGATCTCCCGCGAATCCGCCTGGACGGGACCGCTGCCGCCGCCGTGCCAGGCAAGGAAGGAAGGCGCGGTGCAGGTGCAGGTGCGGTGCGGCGGCCCACCTCCCCCGGATTATTTTTTGCAGATTAATAAAAAAAAACGAGACCGCTTCCCCTTTTCCCCGTCCCCGTCGGCCCGTCCACGTCCCAACACGTAGGCCGCACCGCACCGCGGGCCACGCGGCCCGCCGCGAGACCCGGCCCCACGCGGCGGCGGGGGCGTGGCCCGTGCGCGCGCGCGCGGTGGGAAACTGCATGCCTGGCGGGCGCACGTCGTCGGGTCGGGTCGGGTGGTGGAGAGCGATCGGGGCGGGCGGACGGGGACGGCGATACCGTTGGCTCGCTCGCGGCCGCAGCAGCG